CAGGTGGAGTCTGCCAGTATATTCTCTTTACTCTTAGGGGACAGACCACGTCCAAGGCATTTACCCCATATCTCAACCTTCCAGCAGCACTGTGCCCCAGCTGTCCACAGGCCTGCTTTAGAGGGCCCAGACCTAAGACGGTTCCTGGACCACTCAAAAGCTTCTCATGCATTTCCCTGCTCTGTCTCTCTCTCTGTTTGGTTTTCTCATGTGTAGTCTTCTTTTTCTAGACCAATCTCTGTCTCACCAGTCTCTGAACTCTGTGCAGACTGGGTCCTCTCTTGTCTTCTGCAATACTGTGAACCTAGCCTAGGCCAGTGCTGGGCATACAGAAGATATATAACATGCTTGTTGGGATGACTGTAGACCTCCTCACTACATCCTCACCATTCTCTCTGCAACTTTGAAGGAGATTTCTGTACCTCTAGAAACAGAGGTTGGGCATGATACCTACAGCCCCACAGAGGTGGAATAGAGCCCGAGGCCTGCTGTCTGACCCGGTGTGGCCCTGCTGCCTCTCCCAGGGAAGCACTCGCCTGCCACCAGGTGACATCTGCTCAGCTCCATTCCACCTTTTGCCCTTTTCATTTGAAGACAAATCCCATCATCCTTCCTCTCAGAAGCAAGGGCAGCAAGAGGCTGATACTAACTTGCTGATACTAAGATTCCCATAATGACTGCACACTGGGTGACTTAAGCAATAGAAATTAGTTTTGTCACAGGTCTAAAGTTCAAGATCAAGGCACCAGACATTGTGTTTCCTAGTGAGGACCCTGTGTCTTGCAGAGGGGCTGCTCCTCAGTGTTCCTGCATGGCCTTTCCTCCCTGCTGTGGGTGGGGAGAGGACAGTTACAGTCCCTTCTTCTTCTTATATGGACACCTGTCCTATCACATCAGAGTCCTACACGTCTTGCCTCTTTGAACTTTAACCACCTTCTTAAGAACTTCAATTCAAATACAGTCATTTGGGGTCAGGGCTTCAACACTTGGGCTGGGGAGGACACACTTCAGTCCCTAACAGCTTTCCATAAGAGATTCAGGACCCCAGCTCAGACTGCAAAGAGCCTGGAGAAGCTGGGCCCCCACTGTGAGCTGTGCTAAGCCAGCAGAGAAACAAGTGTAGGATCATCAATCACCAGGATGCCACAGAGTAGAAACCGATGAGCTCTCAGATAGCACTGAAGATGAATGGGGAAAATGACTTGTGATTAAACTGGGCTCCTCCCTCTCGGCTGGGGCCCACTGCCTGCACTGTCTGCTTAGCCTGGCCTGGGCTCCCACAGAGCCTCCAGAGTATGTGCCCACCTTGTGCCAAGGTTAAAGAACTTTCCCTCTAACCACAGGGCTTTTGGTCACCCTGATTGAGTGAGTGAGTGGGGTGTGCGATGGGGCCAGCATAGGTGCTGGGAACCCTGTGGAGACATTAGTTCCCATTGCAGGCTACCTGGCTCTTGTTAATGATGAGTGCTACTGTACACTTTCTATGCATTCTCTTGTTTGCACCTATCCCCAGGAAGGTCAGAGTAAGATGATGTGGTGAGGGCAATGGGTTTGGGAGCAGACAGGTAGAAGACAGAGAGGGGCTTGTCTTCTTGTTCATTCAGCCAGGAAGTTTTTACTGAGCAGGTGTAGTGCCATCATATCCTCAAAGGTAAGAAAACCCCACGTGGTCTCTGCTTCACAGAGCTCCACCCCAGTCAGGGAGATAGACAGTGTGGAGCTCATTCAACAAGACCATTACAGGCAGTGATAAATGCTAAAAAGAGAGTTCTTTCCAGGAATGCAAGAGAGACGGGGCAAGGGAGCAAATTCAGATGGGTCGGTGAGAGGCGGCCTTTTGGAAGGAGCGACATCTGAACTGAGACCTGGCTTGGGTGTAGCTGGGGCAAGTGTTCTCAGAACTGCAAGGGTCAAAGCTCTGAAGCAGGGATGGATTTGGGCTGTTTGAGAAACTGGAAGGAGGCTCACGTGGCTGGTTGTGCAAAGGCAGGAAGACCATGGGGGGGGAGGTTAAGGGCATGAGACAGCCTGGAAGGTCAGGGAAAGGGTGGGGATGCCGCTTCACATGCTATGAGAGTCTTCCAGAGCTCTTTCAACAGGATTGAACTTATATCATCATCATCATCATCATTTTCATCAATTACCACCATCATCACTATCACCATCACTATCATGTGACATCACCAAACCTACCATCATCACCAAACACCACCACCACCATCACCATCATCATCACCAAACACTACCATCATCACCAAACATTGTCATCATTATCACTGTCACCAATTACCACCATCATCACCATCACCATCACCATCACTATCAAGTGACATCACCAAACACTACCATCATCACCAAACACTGTCATCACTATCACTGTCACCAATTGCCACCACCATCAGTTACACCACCAGCATCATCACCAGTCTCTATCACCATCACCATCACTATCATAACCATCAATTACCATGACCACCATCATCACTTTTCCATAACTTAGGCCTGAGCAAGTGTTTTCTGATGCTTGCGAGTCCTTTCCTAGCAATCTTCAGCACAACTTCATGAGAGCCTCACTTAGGAGTGCACTTGTACCTACTGGCTAAGTCTCAAACTGCCATAGCAGCTGAGCATCCATCAGGTGTCTGTGACCAGCTGATGTAGCTAAGGCAAAGTTCAAGCTGGAACCAGTTATGCTGCCTTTCTGTTTCCTATCCAAAATGTTGTCTGACCTCACATTTGGGTCCTGATCACCTGATTATTTGAGGCTGTTCTGGTTTGGAAGGCTGCTCATTTTTAGCATCATGAATAGAGTCAATTAAGATATTTAAATAGCCAGGCGTGGTGGTGCATGCCTTTAATCCCAGCACTTAGGAGGCAGAGGCAGGAAGATCTCTGTGAGATCAAGGCCCTCCTGGTCTACATAGAAAGTTCCAGGCCAGCTGGGGCTATAGGGAGACCCTGTCTCAAAAAAAAGATATTTAAATCTGTTTTCTTTATACAGTCATAGCATCCATATGGCACCACCATTGTAACCATCACTATGATCACCATCATTATTACTACCATCACCATCATCCTGTTACCACCATCACCATCATCCTATTATCATTACCACTATCATCATCGCTTTGACCGCCACCATCACCATCATCATCATCATTATCACCACCACTGTCATTATCATCATCATTGCTATCATCACCACAACTGTCATCATCATCACCTCATCACTATCATCATCATCACTATCATCACCACCATTATCACCATCATTACCATCACTGTCATCATTATCACTATCATCATTACCATCATCACCACTGTCATCATTTTCATCATCATTGCTATCATCACCACAACTGTCATCATCACCATCATCAACATCCTCACTGTCACCATCGTTATCACCAGCATTATCATCACAACCATCACCATCATTATCACTATCATGATCATCACTATCATCATCACTGTCATTACCATCATTATCACTATCACCATCATCTTCATCACTCATCACCATCATCACCACCATTATCACCATCATCACCATCATCATCGTCATCACCATTATCACTGTTATTATCTCCATCATTGTGTCACAGGGTGAAGCAGATTCTATTACTACTAACCCATTTCCACTCCTCAAGCATTTACAGAGTCAGTGTTCAGTAAGCATTTTGAACTGCATCTGTATCTCTCATCAAGGGCTCTCTGGCTGTCAGAGCCTATTCTGCAGACTCTTAGGCAGGGCTGGAAGTGAAGGGACCAATGCCTGCCCTCCCCAGGAGCCTGTATCCAATGACTCTCTAAACTTGAATCCTTCCCTTGTCCTCCCCAAGCACCCGCCTCTCCTCCCTTACCCCTGGGGGAATGACCAGATGAGTCATTCTGCATTGTTCTCAGGGTCCCCCAGCAGAATGAAGAAGCTCCAGTTGCTCATTGTGGCCTCCCCTTCTTTCTCATTGGCTTGCTGTCTTTAAGCTCCTGGGATCACTACTTGCTCTTGAATCTTTGCCTCAGGATCTGATTGTGTGAATAACCCAAATGGAAACAGGAGAGGATTATGAAAATTGAACTTGGAAAGCTCTTGCTATGTTAATTGCTCAACACATTCAGTATTGGATGGATGGATGGATGGATGGATGAATGAAACCTCACTTGCCAAGGAGACAGACCCAAGGCAAGAGGAAAGAGGAAGGGACAGAGCTGGGGTTATAAGTGAAGGAAGGGAGCGGGGGGCAGTGCCACGGAGGCTGTTCCTCCTCAACTTGAGCAACTGCTGTCCTTCCTCGGTCAGCCTCCTTGCTCTGAGGGCTCCTCCTGGCCCCAATGGATGGGGGCAGTTTCAAGGTATGGCCAGAGCCTATGGGGAAGTACAGTATGGTGTTTCTATCTCCCAGCTCTGGGTCAGTAACCAGAAAGACAACATCCACTGTGAGCCAGACTGGGGAGAATGAAGTGAAAATGACATTTAACTAGTTGTACATTTAATGTTCAAGCAATTTAAACGTGTTATAAAATGGCAAGGTACTGTATAGCATTTAAGACATGAGAATGCAAAGGGAAGCTGGTCATCTGTCCAGTTCTTCCTGAGTTGTCCATAGCCACAGCCTCTGCTCACATCTTTAGGGTCTCAGAGAAGATATGGGGTTGTTCACGGTCACAGTGCTTTCCCACTCCAGACTGTGGAGCTGCCTCCAAAGCAATGCTTTCTGGAGATCCCCCACCTGTTCCTGAGAACAGTGCTGTAGTTTTTACTCTCCTCTGGTCTGGGAATTGTGAACAAAAACCCTGTGGAGATTCAGGTGCCTTGGGAGGTGTCTTCTGGGGCTGTGTGTGCGTGGTTAGGATGATGAGGGTCCAGTCCAGCTCTGGGTCCTGTTTGGCATCTAAAAGGTATTTTCTGGGAAGGAGGACTTGGAGGAAGACCCAGCCCTTCCCCTGCACAGCTCTGTTCCCATGCCAGGCATCCCAGGCTGTTCCTTAGAGTTTAAGGCTTAAGTGGGGCTCTGTTTAATGACCCACTCTCCATGGGGGTTGGCACGGTAGAGATCTAAGAGGTAGGCATCTGGGTCCAGGCGATGTTCACCTGTGGGAAGAAGGGAGCCCAGAGTCTGAGGATGTGACTGAAAATGTGGTTGCCTTTCCCAGAGTCCCTCAGCGCGCAGGGCACCACCCTCCAGCTGTGGGGGCCTTGGTTGCTGTGGCTCACAGCTACCCCTTTCTCTAGAATAGTGACCTCCACTGGTAGAGGATTCTTTGCCAGAAAGTTAGGCCTTTCTTACACAGGTAGCCACAGCAGAGATGCCAAAACCAGCCTCCTTCCCCGCTGCTGCCCCTCGAGGGCCAAGCCTGCTGCAGCTTGAGCTCCATTTTTCCCATCTCACCCCCAGACCGGGAGCTGTCACACTCCTGGGAACAGAGAAACCACTTTGGGCCAGGTCCTCCTTCTCCCTTAAAATTACAACACACACACACTGGGCCAGGGTGATCCAGTGGAGCTGAGAGAGGCTTTGTTGTTGTTTTTGAGACAGGTTCTCCCTGTAGTCCCAACTGTCCTGGCACTCTGTAGACCAGCCTGGCCTGGAGCTCACAGAGATCTGCTTGCCCCTGCCTCCCAAGTGCTGGAATTAAAGGCGTGTACCACCACATCCAGCTTCACAAGTGGCTTTTTTCAGCCATGGTAAACTTCTGGGCCTTGTCTTGGCCTCTACTTCTTGACCAGTAGCTCTCACAGGGGGGTCCTTAGACCAGCAGCTTTAGCCACATGGGGGAACTTGTTATAAATGTGTGTGCTTAAGGCCCAGTCGTCACAGCCGTGTGGGTGATTCTGATGTGCCACACAAGTTTGAGGCTTCTGGCTTGTCCCCAGTTCCCACAGAGCAATGACCCTTAGAGCTAGCTGCTGGCAGGCCTACAGCATTCCTAAAGCAATCCACAGCCTGGCCTGTGCAGAGATCCCTCTTCTTCGTGTCCTCTAAGTATCCGTAGTGGCACTGACAATCTTCACACTAGAAACCTATCTGCCTTCTCTTCCAACCAGGGCCATGTAGAAGTGCAGGTACAGAAGACTTCCGCCAAGGCTCACCTTGAACCTCACAGCAGGGGTCTACCAGTTGCAGAAGAGAGGCCTGAAGGGAAGGTTCAGCCTGAGCTTTCAAGGTCAAAAAGCTTCCAGGGACCCTGGCTTTGTGACTCACTTCCCACAGGGGAACTTACCAATGTTCCCTCCAACTTCATAGAAGAGAAATTTGGCCAGCTCCGTGTTACTGTAAGATAGAGAAAAAAACAAGCTGGGCTCTCCTGGAGGCTGCAAGCTCCAGTCTGTAAGCAGGTCCTTAGGGATTTGTGATCCCAGTAGGGAGAGGGAACTGTCTGAGAAAGCTGGAGCCATCACAGGAGGCCAGCACCCAGGGATAGGGAGAGGCAGCCGGACAGTACGACAGTCTCGGGGGAAGACCAGCCCTGGGGCCTCTGCCGCGAGGCCCCTTCCTGCTAGACAGGATAAGGGTAGGATGGGGTGACAGATGGAGAGGCAGACTCTGCATCAAGATGGAATATGGGTATTGTATGAGTGTGTGTGATAAGTATGATCCAAGGATCACTGCATTACCATTGTCCAATGGTAATTGTGGAGACCCCCAGTTCAGTTCTAGGATCTACCCCTGACTTGCCTTGTGGCTTTGGACATGCCTTTCACCTCTCTGGGCCTTGGTTTCTCTGTATCAAAAGAACTGGACCAGACACTTGGTGAAGACTGACATTCTGAAGGTGTCTGTGCCACTGGCCCATCTGGCCATGCTGTGATTCAGCTTTCTCAGGACCTTTGCACATACAGTGTTCTATGGTTGGAGGCCTGCTCCTCAGTCTACATCAGGTGTCTCACATTGGTCCATATTTTTCTTATAAAATCCAATACTGTTTGTAACTTGCTACTTACTTGTGACAACTTGATTTATGTCTGTCTTTTTTCCACATGTGGCTGTAGGGCTAGAACCTCTGTTGGCTCTTTTTAAAAAACACTTTTACTTTTAGTTACATGTTTGCATGTGTGTCTGTGAGGGGAGTGTGTACACACCAGTGTAAGTGCCCTCAGAGGCCAGAGGTGTTGGATCCCCTGGAGCTGGAGTTACAGACAGTTGTTAGCCACTTAATGAAGGTGCTGGGAAGTTATCTTGGGTCCTCTTCAACAGTATATGCTCATAACTGCTGAGCCGCCTCCCCAGCCCTCCGGTGGCCCTTTTCCTTGCTGTTCTAGCATTCCACAGCGTGCCCAACCTATAGTTACCATTTACTAAACGTATTAAAATCAGAAATGAGTCTTTTGCATCATTATTTGGATGCATTATTTGGAGAACGCATTGTGACCACCAAGAAAGGGAAAGCCAAGGGCACATGTGGCCCCTCTCCGCCCATGGCCTTCAGCTGGAAGGTGCTGACCCTCCCTACACCCTGTAGAGGAGAGGGGAGGGTCCTGCCAGGAGGCGGCCCTTACTTTGAGAGAATGCTGTCCCCGTTCTCACTGCCCTCTTCACGCTGTGACCCAGGGCTGAGGGACTCTATGAACAGCTTCAGGACGTGGGTCACTCTGGTGCTGGGATTCAGAGGAACCTGTAGGATATCCTTGCTAGGCAAGGTCACCTGGATCTTTGCCACTTTGGGAGTCTGAGATGGGGGAGGGGGAAAGGAGAGAGAGAGAGAGAGAGAGAGAGAGCTGTATGCCTGAAATTCACTATGTGCATAAACATCCCCACATGTATATGTAGACCGGTATTCATACACACAAAAAGATCACAAAATGCATACATACATACCACATATATACACAAGCCCAGACATGTACACACATCCCAGATGTGGAAATGCATGAGAACATGTCCTTATACACCCAGGACAGCATGTGACTCACATACAGATGTACACACACACAGGCTCGTGTCAGCTCATCACCTGCACACTCACATACACAAATACTCATACACACACTCACACACTCACACACACAAATACATACACGCTGCCATACACACTCATACACACAGTCACACACACATTGACATACACACACACCACACACAGAGTCATACACACACTGTCATACCCATAACTCACACACTACCATATATACACACACTGACACACACTCTAACACATTCATACACACACTGACATACACTTATACCACACTCACACATATTGACACACATACATTCACACACCACACACACACATTCATATACACCCACACCAACACTCACAAAACTCATTTACATTCATACCATATACACTCACACACAGAGTCACACTCACACACGCTGACAGGCACTCTCACACATTCACATACCACACTCACATATTCACACATACATACGCTCACATACACAGAGTCATACACACACACCACACATATACACACACACACATGCTGACATTCACACTCACACATCCATACACACACCACACTCACATAGTCACACACATGCCGATACACATTCCTTCACATATTCTCACTTCCCACACACACTTAGTAGTGTCAAGTCCTCTGTTCTAGATTTCCCTAAGGAACTGTGTTCAGGATTGCTCTCTGCTCTGTGTTTCTGGAAGGTTCTTTCCTTCTTCCACACCCCTCACCTCACAAAACACCCCATTCACTTTCCGGACCCCCTTCCCACCTAGACACACAAGCAGGGCAGGTAGGTAGCTTTCAGGAGACTCCCATACCAGGCCAGCTCCCCATCCCTCAGTCCTGGGGTTTTGCACCTCCTATCCGCTGAGATGAGACGCGGGTGCCCCCTGGTGTCCGAAGATGGTTATGCAGTCTAGTCCGCTTACCTGAAGAACTGGGGAGCATCCCACCTCTTACCCACAAGTGCCTTTCTGCCACCTTCAGTCCTCTGCGCCATCTGCCTGGGGGTGGGGACACTCACCACCTCGAGTCCGTCCCCCGCCTTGCCCCTGTCCAGGTGTGTCCTCCGTAGCCAAGTCTTGAGGCCCCTATCACAGAGCTGGGAACGACGGCCATTACTGTCGTTCAGTTTTCGCACTTGGGCTACCAAGAAAGAGGCGACCTGACAGGAAGAAACAGGTCTCATGGGTGCTGGGCTGCTGGGGCAAGAGGCAGGTAAGTCCCCCCAGGATGCTGCGGTTGCTCCCACACAGGGCTCGGACATTGACTCCTTTTAGTGGGAGGGAGAACTAGTTTGGAGGGAAGGAAGGTAGACATTTAGGTTCAAAAGGTCCTCGGGTAGGGGACTCAGGCCCTGAGGCTTCGGGATGGTTCTGCTCTATGGAACAGCTGCTCATCAGCACACCAGGTAGGACTGTCCCCCAAAACACCTGAACTGGCCTTCTACTTTGAGAAGTCCAAGTAGTGGGCCTGGGGGAGTCCTAGGACTTGCAGATCGCCGGGCCTTGTTCAGAGTCCAACTAAGCTGCAGGCTCCAGGGGCCCCCAGGACCGCTAGTTCTTTCCTGAATTGTGACAGACTGTGGGGCCTGTGAGCCTAAGAAAGAAATGGGAGGAAGGTGAAGGAGACTTCTCCCATGATGCTGTCTACATCTGCACTGTCTGAAACTTTTTTTAAAAGGATATTTAGGGAATCTCTCGAATTAAGAAATTCCTACAATAAAAAAAATTGTAGGGGCTGGAGAGATGGCTGAAGTGTTAAAAAGGACTCTGGTTCGGTTCCCAGTACCCACATGGTCACTCACAACTATACAGAACTCCAGTTCCAGGGGATCTGGAACCTGCTTCTAGCCTCCTGAGGCACCAGGCACACATATAGGCAAAACACCCATACACACAAAAAATTATAACTCACTATGTTTTAGTAACAATATTACTTCAGAAGGCTGAGTTCAAAGGAAAAGGAATTGTGGGAGTTGGGGGGGGTTAGGATCTTTCAGCAGAAAAGTTAACTCTGAACTTAGCCTTAAAGAATGAACAGAGGGTACCAAGCTCTGCCTTTTGAGAAAAAGGAAGGGAAGTCAAGGTAGAGTGGAAGGTATGAGCAAAAACCTAGAGGCAAGAAGCCCAGGATGCATTTGAGGAAGCAGATGCACTTTGGTGCAATCAGGACACAGAAGAGTGTCTGGTGGGATGAGAGGAGCTGGGACCATTCCGAGAGGGCTTCATTTGCTGGGGCGTGGAATTAGAAATCTAATTCATGGATGGATGGAGGGCTATATGGATGGATGGATGTATGGATGTATGGATGGATGGATGGATGGATGGATGGTAAATGAGTGGGTATATGAGTGGATGGGTAATGGTCAGATGGATGGATGAATGAATGGGTAAATGATGAATGGGTATGTAGGTAAAATGATGATGGATGGTGGGTGCGTGTTTGGATAGGTAGATGAATGTATGGATGGATGGATGCAAAGGTGCTGCCCTCCTCCCTTGCTTGTTTTCAGGGCAAAGCTCATGGTGGGGGCAGGAATAACTCTGCTATCTATCTCTGGTCCCTCTTAGGCAGAACCTATGTTTCTGAGCCTCAAACCACGGACCCTCTCTACATCATTTAAGCACAGATATTAAGGTACTCTCCCTGGGAGTGCAAGGAATATCTACTAAACCCAGGAGGTGGGGTGGGGTACAAAACAGCAGACCAGAGAGGACTGTGGGTTGACTGAGAGGTGACAGATGTGGTTGTAGAGATAGAAAGTACAGACATCTTAGATTTGAATGCAGGGAAGGAAGAAAATACTGGTTTTTGCCTAGTTTGGCAGGGTTCTATGAAAAGACCTAACCAGGCACATGAAAAGATGGTGCCCATGATTTAGACAGGAGGTAGCTGGCAGCTGCACAGGGAGAGCAGGGCTGTGGAACCTGGGATGGACAGCCTGCCCTTGGCTCGCTGTCACTCTAGCACTCACCGTCCAGAACAGATCCTGATAGTGCACCATCATGCTCACGACCTCAGCTGCACCCTCTGCCAGCTGCTTCTCACCCTTGGGGAGTTTAGGGGGCCGCCCTTGGGGCAGGAAGAGATTGGGGGCCATCACTGTGGAAACATTCCACAGACCCATCTTGTTGTGCTGCTCCTGGGCGGCCACCTTCCTGAGGAATTCCAGGAGTGCCTAGGGAAGGACACGAACCCTGCCTATGATCCCAGCACAGCTCAGGGCTTCCCACCCATCCCAGAACACCCTTCTGCACCCAGTGGGAATGCCTGGAAGGAGTTGGGGGCAGGGAAAGGTCTCAGTTCCAGCTCTGCCACCAGCCCACTCTGTGACTTCTCTGGGTCCCCACTTCCTGCTCTGAAAAATATAAACCGAAACTCTCTCCCTTCTCCCTCTGCCCCTGTGTCAGACTTCAACTTCAAGGTACAAAAGAACCTCAAGTCTAGAATGTGGGCCTTCTCCTAGTGTGCCCAGGACAGCTCCTCGCTTCTGGAGTCTGGACCCACCCAAACTCCAAAGGAAAGGGTTGAGAAACAGATGCTGGGCAGGAAAGGGGTGAAGATTATAACTACCATCTATTGAGTATGCTGTGCTCCTGGTCCAGCAGTTAACCCCGCCCATGTGTTTGCCAGCTCACTGAGGTAGGCGTTGGAGAAGAAGACCACAGGCCCCTCACAGGCTCACTCTACAGGCCATTGGTCCAACCCAAGAACAGCCAGGGGGTGAGGAGCAGGGAGCCAAGCCAAGGCAGAGCACCTGCTCCTAGAAGACACAGTGTGGATCCCTGAGGGGACAGGCTCCCAAGCTGGATCCCTACAGAACACTAGCACCACATCATGCCTCCCACAACTGAAAAAGACAGCCATCAGCTGAGTGTGGAAGGAGCTGAGTGCTCTAGCCCCATCTGAGGTGCCCAAGGCCTGACACATCAAAGGTTCAGGGAAGCCTCAGAGAAGAGAGTCAGTCAAAGAGTGGTCCTGAGCTTGTTCCCTGTCTTCCCTGTATACCAGGCTTGTCAGATGCCTGAACCACTGAGATTTGGTTGCTTTCAGAAGACTCTCCTGCTTTTTTTTAGGGATCCTCTGGCAAGGCCTGCCTAGGCATGGCTGTGGTATGAAGGGATGAACAAAAGGCCAGCGCTGTGCCTGAGGCATGAGAGGTGGACATGGACTTTTACCTTCAAGGTGTTCCTGTTAGCTTCTGGCAGGAGGAGGATAAGCAGGTGGAGAGCCTGTAGGCGCTGCCTCAGGTCAGGGATGCCTACAGAGGAGGGAGGGAGGGTGGAGCTCAGGGATACCCCCTCCTTGATCTAGCCTCTCCCTGGGGAAATTCAGAACTGGAAAGCCCAGCAGGCCCTTTCCCACAAGGTCTGCAACTGCTTCCTAGCTAACACTTGCTCAAGAAGCCCAGCCAGTACTGGCCAAGAAGTTTACTATAGGGGGCTGGAGAGATGGCTCAGCAGGTAAGAGCACTGGCTACTTTTGCAGAGGACTCAGATTCGGTTCCCAGCACCCACATGGCAGCTAACAGCCCTCTGTAACTCCAGTTCCAGGGGATCCTACGCCGTCTTCAGGCCTCCATGGACACTGCATGCATGTGTTGCACTTACATACATGCAGGCAAAATAATCATACACATAAAATAAAAATAAATAAATTTTAAAAAGAATGAAGTTCACTATAGTGAAAAGCAAGCACGCATGCTCATACGTGTGCACCCACATACGTACATCCCCAGACAGACACTGTGCTGAGCCACCGCCCAGGGTCAGTTATGCCAAGGCCAGCAAGTCATCCCTGGTAGGAAACATGGGTAGCTCACCTGTCATGGATGGAAGGTTTCATGACACCCTTAGGAGATAGGGTTGAAAAGGAAGGTCAGGGTCTCCAGGGGGAGAAGGGCATACCGCATGTCAGGCCAGGGGCCCTCCTGAGACTCTCACATTTGTGGTGTGTGAGAAACCACTTCTAGTCAGAGAGCACTGGACTCAGAGGATGAGGAGACAGACTGAAGAAGGAAGGATGCTCCTCCATAGGTGCCTCTCGGGAGGGTCCCAGGAGGAGGCAGGTCAGAACCTAGGAAGGAACCAAGTCTTCTAGAAAGTGTGGGAGTGGTTGACCTGATGCATGTTTGCAAATGAAGCTGTGAGACTCAAAGGCAGGGCAGAACTCTTAGGGTCCTGCTGTGGACAGTGGACTTCAGATGGCCTGAGTGTGTGTGCGTGGAGACCAGAGGTGAATGTCAGATAGGGTGTCTTCCTCAGTTTTGGTTTTTGTTTTGTTTTCTTTTCAGACAGGGTCTCCCTTGTAGCTCCAGTTGGCCTAGAACTCGCTATGTAGACCAGACTGGCCCCGGTCTCACAGAGATTCACCTGCCTCTGCTTCCTGAGTGCTGGGATTAAAAGCATGTGCCACCTGGCCTCTACCTTTGTGTACATGTGTGTACGTGTGTGTGTGTGTGTGTGTGTGTGTGTGTGTGTAACAGAGGCTTTCACTGAACCCGGAGCTCACTAATTGGCTAGGCTGGGTAGTGAGTCCCAGGGATCCCCCTGTCTTTGTTTCACCTGCTCTAAGAGTACAGAGGCTCACAGCCCCACCTGGCTTTTACATTGGTGCTAGGGATCTGAACTCAGGTCAGACTCAGGCTTGTGTGTTGAGCACCTTACCAACTAAGCCATCTCCCCTGCCTCACCTTGAATCTTTTTTGGAGACAGAGAGAGAGAGAGAGAGAGAGAGAGAGAGAGAGAGAGAGAGAGAGAAAGGGGGGCTTCCCTGTGTTTACATACTTAGGATGTGTGTATGTGTGTATAACACAGAGGTGTCTGATAACACATGCTGACCTGCAGACATGCACATAGCCAGAAAGGCATACACATATATGGGTGTCCATAGATAGATGTGCCTGATAAGCTCCACCCCACGGATGTCAAGAACTGAAGGCCCCACATGATAGAAGAAGAGAATAATTACCTCCCAAAAGTTGTCCTCTGACCTCCACATGTGTGCCATGGCATGTGTGCCCCAAGACACACAAAATAAACAAATAAAATGTAATAAAAACATTAAAACCGAGAACTGAGAGCAACTAGTCCCTCATTATTGTAAGGGCTAATGATGTCCAAGTATCCAAGGTCTCAGCCCCCTGCTCAACTTCTCCTTCTTTGTCACTCAAAGCATACATCTGCTACACACCACACACATACTCATGTATGCACACATATGTTCTCACACTCACGTGCAAACACACTTCCTGTTCCATCAACTCGCTATCCCCAAAGACAAGACATTTCTGGAAGAGGTAGTCCTGTCTTCACACCCCTTCCCCTCTCCACTAAGGCCAGGGGCTCCCCACCCCACTTCCACATGCCCGGGGATGTGGCACACACTGGGCACTGCTGCAAAGGCCGGGAGGTACTCAGCCGTGAGCAGAGGTGCTGGCAGCTTCCGGAGGAACCTTTTGAGCAGGTCGGATGCATCATTGGGATGAACCTCGTCCCAGCGAATGAGGCCGGCATAGAAGTCTCTCTCCAGCTTTTGTTCTAGCCCCTAGAGGAAGGGGAGCCGCCAGGGAGAAGTTGCCCACAGCTCCTCTCTAAGCTACTCTCCCACCTGCCTGGACCTCAGTGTCTTCACCTGCAGGATCGGGGACAATAGGGGCACCTCCCTCACAAAGTTGCTATGGAGATTGGATGGTGCAGCACTCCATTCAACAGGTGTTGGCAGTGTGGGATGTGCACTCTGAACCACGATGCTCTATGGACTACTTTCCATCCCCCGGGATCCCTCCTCACACAGGCCCACACATGGGCTCAGAGGTGAGGCAGCCTGGATGGGGTAGAAGTCAGACATTATATTACCTTGACTCTGGCCTGGGATCCAGGCACTCTGAGGATGCCTTCTGTGTCCAGCCCTCTCTTTTCCAAACAGGACAGGAGCTATGAGAGAAAAAAACAACATTCAAACCAGCCACCACATGCAAGCGGGAGCCACACAGGTTGTGTCTGTCTCTCATTCTTCCATGAAAACCAGGAAGAGGACAGTCGTAGAAGGGTTTTCTTCAAATAAGAATACGATCTTTTGTTATTGTTTTTTTGTAGTTCTGAGGATGGAACCTGTGTCTTGCACATGCTGGGCAAACGCTCTACCCGAGTTATACCCTATGCCCACCTGAGCTCTCTTGACTGCCTCTGTGAACTGAGGACTTCATATAAGTTTTCTCATTTGATGGTCAATCAAAGGAGTTTAGAACTCCACCCCATGCATACTGAAAGGGAGGAAAGGGAGGCTCAAAGAGGCCCCAAAATGCACCCAGGTCTCTAAGCTAGCAAAAGCTCAGGCTCTTTCCCCTCAAGTGACCCTCAGAGTCAGCTCTCGTTGGCTAAGGAGCCCCAAGCTGGGGACTGACTTACAGCCTGCAGGAGCAGTGGGACCCGGGTGCTGGGGAGGACTCTGTGGTCAGCTTCTAGCAGGCTGTGAAGGGGCACGCCGAAAAGGCCGGTGTCTGCAGGAAGTCAGAAGGGCAGAAGGTGTGTTTCAAGTGACTCTTGGACCTGGCCCAGTGAGAGCTGCCAGATGACTGGAATCAGGACCAAGATCCCTGGACAGTGGCTGAACCAGCAGTGTCCAAATCTCTTGAGGAGAGCATCCGGCCTCAGCAGCAATGATTTGAGGTGTGTCTCAACGCAGCCCTTCCTCCTGATAAGGAGGAACTAAAAGGGAAATGTCTCATTGCCCTGGGGACGCTGGCACAGTGTGTGCCTACAGTCCAGGGCAGAGCTGCCTAGCCTGCAGGCACCAGCCAAGCCCTAGAAATGGATTACCAGGTGTCTCTGCCACCCTGGCTTGAAGGTCTTCCCAGAAAGAAAACCCTTCCCTGCCTTCTCTTCTGTTCCTTCTTTCACTGGTCTTCTCTAGACCTGTCCTTGGACCTCTTTTACGGACCACCCCCTTGTCTTTGAAGAAATAAAGGGAAAGCAGCAATGCATAATGCTGACAGTGAGACAGTGAGAAGAGCACATCCATATGCTCTTAAAGGTGGCATACATCCAGAGCTAAGAGCTGGGCACCTGAGCTCATGCCTATAATCCCAGCACTCTAGAGGCTGAAGCAGGAAGACAGCTGGAAGCCAACCTAAGCTACACAGTGATAATTGGTCTCAAAACAACAAAAAAAGGGGGTCAGAGAGATGGCTCAGTGGTTAAGAGAGCTTTGCTATTCTTTACAGGACCTGAGTTTGGTTCCCAGCACCCACATTGGGCAGCCTACAACTACCTGTAACTCCAGGTCCAGGGGATCCAATGCCCTCTTCTGGCCTCCACAATTACCTGCATTCACAGGCACAGACCCACACACAGACACACAGATAAAAAATAAATATGTCTTTAAAAAAAAAAAAAACTTAGGAAACTGAAGAGATAGCTCAGCAGTTAAGAGTACTGGCTGATCTTTCAGAGGACCTGGATTCAGTTCTCAGCATCCACATAGCAGTTCCCAGCATTCACATAGCAGCTAACAATTGTCTATAACTCCAATTACAGATGTGGGATCCATTGCCCTCTCTGGCCTCTGTGGACATTGCATACATGCAGTGCACTTCCACACACTCAAGCAAAACACTCATACATATAAAAATAGTAAATAAATAAAATTTTAAAAAGAACAGGTCCATTCAAACTGCTAGGTACAATAACTGTGGCTATGCAGGGAAAACGTGGGCATAATAAATGTCCATTAATAGCAAAACTGTTAAATATATTCATATAATAGAAAATAGTGTAGTGATTAAGAAACATGATTTCCTTCAAAACACTCAAGAAAGAAATTGAGGAATACATTAGAAGATGGAAAGACCTCTCATGCTCATGAATTAGCAGAATAAATATCATAAAAAATAGTTACATTACAGGTTCAACACAATGCCTATCAAAATTCCAATGACATTCTTCACAGAATTAGGAAAATCGATCTTAAAATTCATATAGAAACACAAAAGACCAAGAATGACCAAGGAAATCCTAAGTAGAAAGAGCAATTCTGAGCTGGGCATGGTGGTACATGCCTTTGATTCCAGCACTCTAGAGGCAGAGGCAGGTGAATCTCTGTGAGTCAAGACTAGCCTGGTCTACATAGTGAGTTCCAGGCCAGCTGGGGCTACAGGGAGACCCTGTCTCAAAAAAACCGAAAAAAAAAAAAAGCTATTCTGGAAGCGTCATAATACCTGATCTAAACTGTACCACAGAGCCATAATAACAAAACTGTGGCACAGAAACAGACATATAAATAATGGAATAGGGTCAGGACCCAGAAATAAAGTCAGATAGCCATGGCTGCAGTCATTTAACTTTTGACGAAGGTAGAAACACATACATTGGAGAAAGGAAGCATCTTCAGCAAATGGTTTTGGGGAAACTGATCTCCGCACGTAGAAGAATGAAACTAGATCCATTATTTCCCACCCTTCACGGAAATGAATTCACAATGGATCAAAGAGCTTAATGTAAGATCTGAAACTTTGAAACGGTTATGGGAAAACAGTTCAAGATACAGACATAGGCAAGAACTTTCTAAAAAGGACTTCAATAGCAAGGAATTAATCCCACGAATTGGCAGATGAAATTAAATTTAAAATCTTCTACACAGGAGGCTGGAGAAATGGCTCAGTGTTTAAGAGTACTGAGGGGCTTGGTTCCCAGCACCCACATGGCGGCTACCAATGGTTCATAACTCTAGTTCTAGGGGGAATCCAGCGCCCTCTTCTGGCCTCCCCAGGCATTGTATGACATGGGTGCACTTACACACGTGCAGGCAATATGCTCCTATATATAAAATGAAAATAAATAAATTTAAAAACCTTCCACACAGCAAAGGGAACAATTACCACACAGTTACAGAATGAGAGAAAATATTGGCTAACTATACATCCAACGAATGATTAATATCTAAAATAAAGGACTCCAAATACGGGGCTGGGGATTTAGCTCAGTGGTAGAGTGCTTGCCTAGCAAGCACAAAGCCCTGGGTTCAGTCCTCAGACCTGAAAAAAAGAAAAAAAAAAAAAAAGAAGAACTCCAAATATTAAACAGCAAACACTCCCTAAATCGTAAAACCAATAAATGAGTTAATGAATTAGATAGTTCCCCAAGGAAGAAGAAATAAAAATAGTTTATAAATATAAAAAAAAAGTTCAACATCCTTAATCATCAGGGAAATGCATATTAAAACTGCATTGAGATTTGATGTCTCCTAACCAAATGGCTGTCATAAAAAAAAAAAAAAATAAGTGACAGCAAGTGCTGGCAAAGATGTGGGGGAAAGGGAACTTTGCTGGTGGGAATGTAAGCTGGTGCACCCACTGTGGAAAACCCATGATGGTTCATCAAAAACCTGCAGAACTACCATAAGACAGGCAAAGGACACTACACGAACACAGCAGAGATACTCGCACACCCATATTTATGCTGTAATGGTCATGACAGGATATGGAACCAACCTACATGTCCATGAACAAATGTAGAGATAAAGAAAATTCAGTGCATACATAATGACATTTTATTCAGACTTAGATGGGAATAAAATCTTGTGTGCAGGAAAGTGCATGGAGATCATCATGTTAAGTGAAATAAGCCAGACCCAGACAAATACCTGTGCTTTCTCTCACGTGCAGAATCTAGATTTAAATCACACACACACACACACACACACACACACACACACACACACAGAAGACAGCACATTGAAAGTTAACAGTGCTTATGTCTGAAATGTATTTTCCTTTTTGTATTTTACTATATTTACTCAAATGGGAATACAGAAAAATGAGTGTGAATTGTTTTCTTTTTGTTGTTGAGCTTTGTTATTTTGTTTGTTTGTTTGTTTTGTTTTTGAGACAGGGTTTCCTTGTAGCACTACCTGGCCTGGAACTTGCTGTGTAGACCAGGCTGACCTAGATCTCACAGAGATCACCTGTTTTGTTTCTTTAGACAGGATCTTACTATGTAGTCCAAGCTGGCCTGAAATTTGTGATCCTCCTGCCTCAGTCTCCTGAGTGCTGAGATTACAGGTGTACATACCACTACACCTGGCTAGAAATTGTTTTCACATGCAGAAAGAAACCCACAGTCAACAGAACAGAAGTCAAACGTTTCTTGGTGTTTCTTGGTGGGGCAGGCTGTACAAGTTCATATGACAAAGTGGGTGGATAGAGAGGGTGGCAGGGAGCTCAGGGGTCAGCCTGGCTTGTGGCCCAGTGTGTGGTGCAGACCGCTCACCTGGGCCTTTCCACTTCCCAGCCTTGCTCCTCTTCAGATCCAGGCCCAGGACATCACAGAGTGCAGTCAGCTCTATCAGGGCCAAGGGAGGGATCTTCTTCATGTCACTGGAAGACAAGTCTCCTATCCTGGTCACACCCAGTCTGCCTTTGGGGATTCTGAAACTCTAGGTAGAAGTGAAGACCACTTGTCAAGCAGGGTGGAAGATGGCGTACTGAGGCGCACCCATGACTAGGCATTTGGGTGGGAGGAAGAGCAGAGTGGGTAAGGTCCAGAGTCAGGGTCCAACCTGGATTCAAGTCTGAGCTCTGCCTGTTACCAGCTTGTGACATTCTGAGCCTGACTCCCCACCTGGAGCAATAATCAGTGCCCACCCCAGATTGCTTTACCAGTGTAAAAAGACCTAAGGGGAACGTTGCACCAGGCACTTTGCAATGGAGTTGTTTTTACTACCTGCAATCCAACAAGAGAGCCTGGAGGAGAGAGATCACCTCGTGGGCCTCTGTCTTCACTCCTAGTCTCTTTTGCCCCACTGCCCCTGGAAGCTCCCGCGCCCTTCTGACCCTACCTTTGACCTAGAAAGACATAGTTTCTCTTCCCAAGAATAGTGAGAAAGGGGAAAATGAATATTGCTCCGCTGCGCCCTCTAGAGTCCATATGGGGTTCTGCAAGCAGCTCTCTTAGTTCGCCCTCCAGTGTCCCATGAAAGCCCTCAAAGGAGATGGAATCATTCCATCGTTTTGTTTGTTCTGGTTTTGCTCATGGATGTGGTGTGCATGTATGTTCTCATGTCTGTGGATGCACATGTGTATGCTGGTATATGAGCACACGTGCTCCTGTGAATGTGGAGGCCGTCAGCTGATATCTTTTTCAAGTGCTCTCCATTTTATTTACAGAGGCAAGTCTCTTCCATGTTGTAGTTTATAAATGTGGTTAAAATATAGTGCATGGGCTGTGAACCCCACTTCATGAATTCAAATGCTGTCTTGCCCTGTGAGTTCAGACGAGTGATTTTACTTGCTTTGATGTTAATTTTCTCATCCGAAAAAATGGGACTAATGACAGTTCCATTTCTGCAATAGTTTAGCTGCTGAGTGTCCCCAAAGAGCCCTGTGTTAAAGCCTTAGTCCCTAGGGTAGTGCTATTAGCTACAATTTGAAGGGGACTGTGGGACCCTCTCTGCCATGCCAGAGCAATGATGCCATCTGATCTTGGGCTACAATCACTAGAACTGTGAGTCAAAACCAACCCTCCCTCCTCTCTTCTCTTCTCTTCTCTTCTCTTCTCT